GGGCGCTGACCCGAGCATGCACCCCCTTATCGCGGCTGTAACGCCCGGTGCCCGTAGCCCTCACAGCTTCAGCTGCGTTCTCTGCGTGTGACAGGGCTCACGGAAAGCAAGGACTGCAGGTTCAAAGTCATCACAGGACCATAGGATTGGTTTTGGTTGGAAAAGGCCTTTAAGATCAAGTCCGGTTGTTAACCCAGCACTGCCAAATCCACCCCTAATCCACGTCCCTAAGCACCACATCTACCTATCTTTTAAATACCTTCAGGGATGCTGACTCAACCATCTCTCTGGGCAGCCTTTCCAGTGCCTGACAACCCCTTCAGTAAATACATGTTTCCTAACATTCAATCTAAACCTCCCCTGGCACAACTTGAGACCGTTTCCTTGTCCTATTTCTTTTTACTCTGGAGAAGATACCAGCCACCTCACTACAGCCTCCTTTCAGGGACTTGTAAGGAGTGATAAGGTTTCCCCTCAGTCTCCTTTTCTCCAGGTTAAACCACCGCAGTTCTCTGGTAAGACTTGCGATCTCTACCCTTTACCAGCTTGGTTTCCTTCCTTTGGACATACTCCAGCACCTCAGTGTCCTTGTAGTGAGTGGGCCATAGCTAAACACGGTGTTTGTTTGGGGTGATATTTGAACTGTATTGATTGACTCTGGATCAGAAAAGTATTTGATGGTAGAAGACCAGCAGATTGAAGGACCACGGGTGAGGGTGTGCTTAGAAGGAATTGCCTGTGGCCTGAGAACAATCAGGGAAAGGTGAGGGAAAAGGACGTTGAAAGTGAGAACAGGGTCATCCAGCTTCCTCTTCCACGTGGGAAACCTGTCAGAGCTGAGAGGCTGCTGCAAGACAGCACAGCTGCAGAACTGCTTTGGGAGAGGAGAAGCAGGCATGACCAAAGGGTTTTGAGTGTGGGTGAAGAGAAGGCTACAGATGGATGTAATGGGGTGCATGGAGGAGGATAAGGTAACGGAAGAGACTGAGGAAGCAAATAAACAGAAGCAGTAGAGAAGACATAAAATAAGGGAAAGCTGAGATGAAGGAAACTGAGCTTTGACAATTGAGAATTTTTTCAGTGGAAAATCTTAACAACATTCTCACTCTTGTGTCTCGAGATTTCTTTAGCTTCAGGACACTGATAATTGATTTAGTCATGAGCCTGTGACCACCTACTGTGTGCTGCAGTTGGTGAGAAATGGTGCTGAGCGGGGACACAGCATTTTCAAGGGCAGTCAGTACTTTTTTTATTCTTTGTGTTATGTAGAAGTTACAGCATGTTAATAACCAGTGTAACTCTCTACAGGATTCCTGGCAATGGACAGTTTTAAGCAGGAGTTTGAGGGTAGCTTGTAAAGCTGTCACAAAGTGCAGGACACCGAAGGAGGAAGAGCAGAGGCACAAATGTTAAAATCTTCCAAAGGGATGGTAAAGGTAGGCCTTAGGAGGGCTGAGCAACAGTTGGAGCTGAAGTCTCTGTAAGTGAGGTGAGGGTAGTATGTGAGGTCTTGGGAAATGAAGATGAGCTGCTTCAGGCTGCCATTGTGGAGGAGAAGGAACTGGCAGATGGAAGCACCATGGGCGTTATGTCTGTGTAATGAGCTGGAAAAATGCACCACTCCAAAGGTGGTGTTATGCTGGAGGTCAGAGGGGTGAGACTGCTCCTTGAGGCCAAAGGAAAGCATGTTGCAGCAATCAAAATGCAAGCTGGCAGGGGAATGGAGGGGAGTTCTTACCTGTTTTGGAAGCTTGTAAAAACCATATGGAGCCATTAAAGCCTGAAAACCTAGAGGGTAATCTATAAAGATGGTGCATGGGTAATGGGTAAAGATTAAGGAAGCAGGTACAAAGTGTAGGTTCTCCTGGCACGCAGTAGCATCCGGGACAGATTAACCCCTTCAACTCCTTTTCAGAATTGTATTTGCTGAAAGTGGTGTAGTTTTACTGTTCTGTTGTTTCCTAGGTGTAATGCTGGATTTTGCCAATTCTTCAGTGGTATCTGTTTCAGTTGGCAACTCTTAAAAATGAGATTAAATGGCATGGAGGCCTCATGTGGCTGTTAGCAACAGTGAGATAATAGCCTGATATGTATTATTTAAGCTAAAAAGGAAGATGAGATTTTCAACTAATAAATTTTTTCATTCAACAATCTCCTGTCATTATTTTTAAAACTCTGTGTTGAAAAATTTTAACACAGACCCACAATTATTAGGATTCTCCCTTTAGACATATTTGTGGTTGCATCTTCTTGATGAATGGGGAAAGGAGTAAAGTTTTCTCAAGCAGTGAGATAATTGGGTGGTACAAGTTCTGATGTCTGCTTTGTTTGCCTGTTAACGATGTGAACCTTTTAAAGATGAGTATTCTAGCAGATGCAGTAAGAAAAGTTTGTGAAGATATAATTTTAGGGGAAAAAAAGTAATGATCATAACAAAAATAATTTTAAGTAAGAAATCCCAGGCAGATGTATTAATACACATGAATTTACAGATTAACTCCTGTGATCAGAATCTGAACCGATGCTGTGAAATAATAGAACTGAACTCTCAGATTCAAGGGCAGCTCTTCACAATCCTCAATGAAACATCTCGAGAAGGTAAATCAGTGCCTTGTCTTACTCCTAACACATTTCGCACACATCATCTTTACAAGCTCTGGTTCTTCCTGTAAGTGTTCTCACAATTTCTTAATGTATGTATTTTCTTAGGTGGGCATTATGCAGGTATGGAAACAATAAAAACTCGTCTCCTGCCATGGCTAGGCACTTCCTGTGCTGCTTCTGGAAGGCTCTTTGAAACCAGCTCCTCTCTCATTCAGGTATGTAGGAACATTTTTTTAAGGGTGTAGAACGGTATGAATAGGTAACTGCAGGGGGAGCTTTGCTGACTTTCTGTTAATAATAGCCTTCCTCCCTGATTTTGCTGAATGTGGTATGACCTTAGTTGCTTATGGAGGAAACTATGCTATTTCTCTGTCTCATCTTACATTCAAGCAAAATCAAAGACGTTTTTGATTTAATTAGTCATTAAAGTTTCTTTTGACATTCTACAGCTTATGCCGTCTCACAATAGTGAGCGACGATATGGAAAAATTTGCTTTGTAAAATAAGCTATGTTCTTGCACTGCTATTCCTTTCCTTTTCCTTTTCTGCTACATTTACATTTGCAAAGAGATCAGAGAAGTATTTATGCTGCATATCTATTAGTAAAAACCTGACACTGTGTGAAGATACATGTGTAAGCTGAAGTTGTGTATAAATCTCAGGCATTTATCTGTGAGCTCCCCTTATTTTGTTGAAGAAAAAAAATATCTTTGTTTAGTATCTGACCATTATAGTATCTCCAGAAGAGGGAGGGGGAAAAGAAGTACTTATGTCCATCATGATGCCATCACGTGCCTGACTTGATGCTTGGAGTTAATATGTATTTGGTATTTGCTGAAGAAGTTGTAGTACTAACAGTTTAGCAGAAAGACAGGTCTGCTGTGGCTTTGTGCTTTGAAAGAAAATAAGAGCATTTGTTGATGCAGACTAGATGAAGATATTGAAGATGTTGAGATTTGACACTTATGATTCCATGTTGTCTGACTTCTCATTTTTACACTTGTGTAAAAATCTTTCACAATTAAAATAAGGACAAATAAAAAGTAATATCCCTTGAGAGGTGGATTCTAGTGTATTGCAGGAGTAGAGTTTTGCCAAAAACCCTCAACATTTAAAATAATGATTTTACTAAATGACAGCATACTTAATACACCTGTTATGGATTTGTCACTGCACGTGACATTCTGAATTTAAAGAAAAGCCTACTGCATGGTTGCTTATTTAATTATGGTAGTATCAGGCAAATATATATGATATTAAACACAGAGCTTCATGTCAAAAAACTTTACTTGAGTTAGTGATACAGTCAGTCAGAGGATGTCTGACAGGAAGAAAAAAAAAGCAACATATCTGCAAGAACTCTTTCATCAGAAGATGTATATACAGGTAGTAAATCTGCATATGCAGATCTTCTACATTCTTTATCATGAGGTCTGAAGGAAATTAATATTTTTCATGTAGAAAGCACACAACTGCTTTTGTTTTCAGTTACTTAAAACATGGTCTTTACTAAAATGTTTAGAAACACGTCTGCTGATCACGCTATACTACATTGCTGAAGGTTTATGTAAGGTTGAACATCCTAGCAGCATGGGTTTTTGTTTTGTTGAAGGATTCAATTGAGAAAGAGAAGCAGTTGAGAGAGCTGGATATCAATCACACTTGTCTACTGCAAGAGCTGCAGGAAGAACTGACTTCAACTCGCCTACAGCTCAACCGTGTGCAACAAGAGTAGGGGAATTAACTATGATTCTTTTTGTCTGTTTTTTGTTTTTCAACAAGCCATGTTTTTCTCTTGACACCTAAATACTGATGGCGATTTGTAAGTATTGGATTTCTGGCTTAAAATAAGAGCTTCAAAATACATCTAGGCTCTGGATTGTCTGTGTGTATCCAAAGTGGGGTACAAATGATGGTCATGCATGCATTCATAAATTAACTTGGTAGATTTTGCTTCTGGCAGAGGAGTTGAAAAACATGCCAGTATTCTAGATGAAAGGGTTTTGTGTTGCGCATGAGCATCCCAGTGGGATTACAGTGAATGAACCGCTGCATGCTGAGCAAACCTTGATAAAAATCAGTTGAATAGCTGTATTGCAACACTTTTTGAAGGACCTACAACATGTCGTAATTAGTCATAGTATGTAATCCATATGTGAGCATCTAAGAAGACCAAAACCTGCTGTAGTAAGATGGAGGAAGAAAAAGAGACAAATTTTCAAGTAAGTGACTAGACTGAACTGCTTTTGTCCAGTTGTATGGGACACATTTTGTGGACCTCTGTAGTCCCAAATAGTGTTAATTGCTTCAGAAACAAATTCGTGCAGCTAGTGCCAGTTCCAGTGCAGTTTCAGAAGTAGCTCCAAGTGACAGATACTTTATCGTGCATACTACTAGCATGAGAACAATCAATATTCACCTTCTTTGGGTCAGTACAATAAGTTATTTAATTTAATACTCTTACTAAGTGATTGCAAGAATATCAGGTTCTCGGAACTTCAAAGTGCTTAAGCTAGATTACAGGAAAGGGGCTTGATAGAATGTTTCATCCTGTATCCTAATCTTGCGGGTATTTCCTGCTTTCATTGAACTGTAGAATCACAGAATGGTTTGGGTTAGAAGGGACAGCCAAAGGTTGTCTAGTCCAACCACTCTGCAGCTGGCAGGGACATCTGCCAGTAGAGCAGGTTGCTCAAAGACCCATCCAGCCTGACCTTGAGCACTTCCAGGGTTGGGACACCCAAACTTCTCAGGGCAACCTGTTCCAGTGTCTCACCACCCTCATTGTAAAGACTTTCTTTCTTATATCTAATCTAAATATTTTATCTTTTTTTTTAGTCTAGAGCAAAAACCCCTTGTCCTATTGCTAGGACAGAAGTAAAAAAGTAAGGTCTCTCTCCATCTTTCATATAAGCCTCCTATAAGTACTGAAAGGCTGCAAAAATGTCTCCTTGAAGCTTTCTCTTCTCCAAGTTAAACAACCCCAACTCTTTCAGCCTTTCTTCCAAGGATAGTTGTTCCAACCCTCATATTATTTTGTGGCAATCCTCTGGACCTGCTTTAAGATTTTCATGTCTTTTTTGTAGTGTGGACCCTGGAGCTGGACACACTACCCCAGGAGGGGTCTCACAAAAGGGGAGTAGAGGGAGAAAATCACCTCCCTTGACCTGCTGGCCATGCTTCTTTTTATGCAGTTCACAATACGGTTGGCTTTCTGGGCTGGCAATGTACCAGCCCATTTTTAATTTTTCATCTATTGCTACCTCCAAGTCCTTCTCCATAGGTCTGCTCTTAATCAATTTTTGACACCAGTCTGTGCTGATACTGGTGATTGCCCTGACCCATGTGCATAATCTTGCACTTGGCGTGTTGAATTTCATGAGATTCACTCCTCAAGCATGTCAAGGTCCCTCTTAATGGCATCTGTTCTCTCAAGAGTATCAACTGCAGTGCTCAGCTTGGTGTCATCCACAAACCTGCTGAAGGTGCACTCAATCCTGCTGTCGATTTCATTAATAAAGATATAGATCAGTACCAGTCCCAATAACAGATGGCTGAGGGACACTGCTTGTCACTGATCTCCATTTGGACATTGAACTATTGACTGCAACTCTTTGGGCTTGGCCATCCAGCCAATTCCATATCCATCAATTAGTCCATACATCAAATCTATACCTCTCCAATTTAGAGACAAGTATGTTGTGTGGAACTGTGTCAAAGATATTACAGAAGGCAAGGGAGATGATATTGTTTGGTCTTCCCTTATTCATTAACATGTATTAGCATCTTTGTCTCATCTTGGATGAATGCAAGTATTCCAGTTTTTCACTATCAAAACAGTCAGTCAGCCTTGATTAGTTAAAGATCAGTGCATCCCCCTGTAAAGAAGATAAGAGGATAAAAAAATCTTGTGATCTTGTGGTATATATTAAGTACCAAAAGTGACAAGGTAGGTACCAGAGAAGCACCCCATGTTGTCTGGAGGAAGGGAAAGGTTTTTTGTTTATTCTTCACATTTCAACTGGTTTGCCAGAATTAGGTAATCTTGCAAAATAATTCAAGCTTGGAAGGTTTAAAAAGCAAAGGAGTTTGTTTTCTGTTGATATTTCTAACTGTAGAGAAGAGTTATAGGAGACTGATGGATCTTATTAACATATATACCTGAAGGAACAGTGCAAAGAAGATAGATCCTGGCTATTTCCAGCGGTGCCCAGTTAGAGGATGAGAGGCAGTGGATACCACTGGAACACAGGAGGTTACCTCTCAACATCAAGAAACATTTTCTGACTAGGAGGTGGACTGAGCACTGGCATTGGTTGCCCAGAGGGACTGTGGAGTCTCCAACCTTGGAGATATTAAAAAGCTGTTGTGGGAAACTGACTCTGCATGGTCCTGCTTGAGCAGGGAGGTTGGACTAGATGACCTTCAGAGGTCCTTTCCAACCTCAACTGTTCTGTGGTTCAGGTATATACAGAGGTTGGTTTAGGGGTGAGGCTTGTCATCCTAGTCTCCTGTGTGGATAGAAAGAGATTATTTAATGAGCTGGAGAAAAGTGTTGGATAGTTAAGGTGAGAAGTACAAGGGAAGTTATTCACTAGTACAGATTGCAGTTATTGTGGGGCAGTTTGCATTACAAGAAAAAGTAATTTTTTATATTCCTGTTAGAAGTGAGAAATTGGTAATAAAGTTTTTGGACAGTTTTTGGGTGGCATTTCTCCCTGCAGTCAGGTCAGAGAGGTGCTGGGTGTGGTTTGCAAAGGTAGAAGACTGGAAGGTGGAGGGTTGGGAAGAGGTAATTCATAGGTGAAGATGTGTGAAGGTTTCAGAACTAATCCTTTCAGGGTGACGCAGTAGGGAGCCGTGATTGTGTAGTTATTGGTAGGCAGGGGGCAAGTGCAGGAAAAAGAGAATTAATGTCCCAAGACATCTATGGACAGTGAAGTCATTCCGAATGCTGTAAGTTGTTGAAATTGATGGAGAAAATGTACTTGAGTCTTAATTAAAAATAATGGGTTGTAGCAAAATAATTCTATTATCAGAATGCAACTTCTTATCAGCTCTTTGTGTGCTGATAGTCTGCACAAAGCCCACTGTGATTGTTTTCATATGTTACATTTGCATGGACTTGGTCTGCTTAAACAGTCAGTTTGTCATATGAAATTCTCTGGTAGAATCTCTGCCTTTACCATGAAGGTTATTAATTTTTCTTGCAGTCTGGCAAAAACCCAGTTGGCTCTTGAAGATGCAAAGACCAAATCCGCCTCTACTCTTTTGGCAGCAGAAGATGAAATTATTCAGCTAAAAGCAGCGTAAGAAAAATTGAATCTTGGGGTATTTGTGGCAGACAGTCAGCATGCAGAGACACAGTCTGTCGTTTACCTGAGCAGGTTCTGTTTATGCTACACTGTCTTATGCTAGAGCAAAAAGTAGGTCTAGCTTTTTAGCATCCTGTAAGTTTGTTTCTTGGTGCTATATATAGAGAGAATTAGCATAAGTAGATCCATGTGAGAAGATCCCTGGTGGCTGAACTTCTATACTTTTTTTCATTAGGAGAGAGGAATCATAGAATCACAGAATGGTTTGGGTTGAAAGGGACCTTAAAGATCATCTAGTTTCACCCCGCCTACATGGGCAAGGACACCTCCCACTAGATCAGGTTGCCAGAGTCTGATCCAGCCTGGCCTTGGAACACTTTGAGGGATGGGGCTTCCACAACTTCCCTGAAACTAGCAGCTTGATTACATTTGAATCTGGGAGATGAAGTTAAAGAGGAGAGAACCATGTTCTAAATATAGCTGGAAACCATTTTTTGCAATTTGCTATGATGCTCTTGGAAGTAGCATGTGTGCTAAATAAAAGAGACTTCAGTCTGTCTGTCTTAAGATAAAATTCTTTATGTCGCTTTTTCTGGTAGACTATTTTTGCCAAATCCCTTTGCCAATCTGCACAGACCTAGTGGCAACTGGTAATGTCAATATCTCTGGTTTAAAAATGTTTTATGAGTTTCTACGTGTGTTTGCTCCTATGTGGGAAGTTAATTTGGATTAGTTAGGGTGCAGCCACCTTTCCATTTGAACACAGAAGCAGCAGTAATTCTACACTCTTATGAAATGTACCTCATGTCTTTTGTTTTTGTTGGGGTGTTTTGTTTTTGTGTGTATTATATTATCAGAAAAGAATACAAAAATAGTTGAAATTACTTCCAATATCAAGTGAATTCTGACATTTCAGCAACAGAAATACAGTAATACTTTTTAAATAAATGTGTGCAGCCTTTCAGTTAAATGACATTGCTGCTCTTAAAAATGGAGGAAGCTTGACTTTGCTGCTTAAACTGCAGAAAAGGATATAAATATCCGCAAGTTTATCTTTCTTCTTAGGGCAACTATGAAGATGAGAGAACAAAAAAAAATCTTAGGCCATTAGAGTTTCTACTTCCAATATCAAGTTGAATATCACTTGTTCATCTCTGGATGTTTATCACTGCTTCTAGAATAATGTTAGCTGACAGATGTCATCCATGGACTTTCCTAGCAAGTGTTTCACTTTGGATTTTAATTTTTTGGATGGCTACCTGGGTAATAAACTTATATTCCCATAAAATAGGCTCTTCTGATTTGTTGGGTGAAAAAGATATAACCTGACTGCTGTCTTCTCAGTTAAAACTATTAGGAAGAAAGCGTCTCACCATTCACATGTATACTTCTTAATGCAGACTGGGCAGAAATTCATGTTGCCATCTGTACTAGTGAAAAAGAATAAAACATTCCTATCTTGTGAATTCAGGAATTCTGTAATCTCCACATACCTATGGTACATGTTGACTCTCAGTTTAGTTGGCACTCTGCATTTGCATCTTCTGCCTGGATGTTCCACTTTTGATTAAAGCAAAGGTGCCATTTTTCATGTTCTGTGAATAGTTATTTTCAAAATTTGAACCCTTTTAGATGGATGAAATCAGATTTGCCTGTTCACCTGCTTATTGAAACCAGAATCCTTCTAAAAGTAGAGAAAGTGAGATCAGGACTAATCTGTGGCACTTAGGGCAGGACTATATATTTTTTTTTTTTAGTGTAAGGAACAGTTTGCCAGATGTGTCCTTTGCAACTTGGTCTGTAAACTTGTTTCTTGAGACTTTTAAAAATATCTGATGATCTCATTCCCCTTGTCTATAGTCTCTCTGTCTTGCATACTGAAAGCATTTTTTGAACACATTTTTGTCTTCTGGGCTGTTACAGCAGATTACCTGTGGTCCTCTCAGTCAGCCTTCTCTTTAAACAGTCAGAACAGGAAGCCTGTTAATTGAGAAACATTTCACCTTTCCTTGGTTCAGAGACTCAAAAATCTCAGTGGAGTCCTTCAGTAAAGAAAAGGAGGGACTGAAGGCATCCAAAATTAGTAGAAAGTAGAAAACCTTTTTTTTTTTTCCTTCTTTTCAAAAGAGGAAAATTACAGTAATATCTATGTTAGGAGGGTAAGAAGAGATGTTGGGATACTTTCTAACATGAAGGAAGAGTAAGAGCAGAGGATAAACTTGCTTTAATGGTAGTCCACCAGTGTTTACTGTTTCTCTTAGGGAGAGCAGAAGAGAAATCATTAACTTTTCACGTTACTTGAAAACATCACTGGTGATGATGAACCTGACATAAGAAAACACCTAGTCTTAAACTGCAGGACAGAAAAGGGATCTGGTTTAGTTAATGTCTTAAATATGAGAAAGAAATCAGTTTTTTTTCTTAGACCTCATAGTCTGAACTAGTGCAAGGACACAAAATGTTAACCAGTCATCTCTCCTCTTAAAGTGCAGTGTATCCAGTCTCCTGCCACAGTACACTTTTACATTTTAAAGCATAATTTAGAGTATGCTTTGGTGAATGCTTTTTTTTAAACTCTTGATTTCCCTGTATTTCAGTATATGGAGCTTGCTCAAGATTTCTCTTTTTCTGTTATTTTTGTTTGATTATGAAGATTAATTGATAGATGGTTTGCATTGATAGAAGGACACCTTGTGACTGATGTTATTATGTGTGGTTAAGACTGAAGACTTCCTGTGCCCAAGAGAAGGATGCCCTGAAGAAGTTAGATCGTCTGAATGACTATGAGCAGCAGATTCAGATACTGCGGGATGAGATTTCTATCCTGGATGCCCAAAAGTCTGTTCTCCGGAGCAGGTAGAGGCATTATTCAGGGAAGTTGCTGAATCAGAGAAATTGTTCATGTTGAACAACATGAATTCCCTCTTCCTTTTAAATTGAACTATAAACAAAAGCGAAGTTTTTGTACTTTGTTAGGAAGGAACATAAACTCTTTAACTAACTTTTCTCACTGCCCAAATGATTTAATTTCAGGCAGCTATGTTTATTTAGTTTCTGGCAAAACAGCAAAGAGAGCAGCTTTACAAAATACAACTAAAGCAATTGTATGAGATAAAAAGATAGGGTTAGGGTTTGTTGTGTGTTTTGTTTTGTTTATAAGTCCTCTTTGAATACCATTGCAGGGCACAACTTGTTTGTTATGCTCTCACTTGCTTAACTTTACAACTCTTCAGTGTTACTTAAAGAGGCACAAATCTCCAAAGTATTACTAGTTTAAAGTGTATTTCCCCAGAACGAAGTGCTTGGCTGTACACACTGTAGGAATTACTTTAATTTTATTGTTCAAGCTCTAGCCCATACAATGCATTGCCACGAATGTCTTCACTTTAGACTGAGCAGCTGCAGCTTTACTGCGTTCATTATGTTGGCTCAAAATCTCAGCGTACCCTGATAATAATGAAATCAACACAAAGGTCTGTGCACAAGGCAAAAGCACCTGAGGCTGGTGAAGTGCTTTCATGCTTCTTACGTGTCTGCCCTAGGATCGCACGGAGCCGCTCTCCGTCCCCGACGAGCAGGTCGCTGAGCCCGCTGCGCCTGCGGAGCTGCTCCCCCGGCCGCGCCAGGCGCACCAACGCCTCCCGGCGCAGCGGCCTGCTCGCTCGCTTTGGGGACATCTATGCTGAGGAACGTCTGGATGCAGAGACCCTTCTGAGGACGTACATCAGTGACATTGAGATGGTGCGGAGGATAATATACATTGCAGCTGTGGTAAGAAAAAAAGAGTTCTTGTTTTACAGACCAGAAATGTTTTGTAAAATATTATGGCTGGATTGTATTAAATTAGTGTGTGAATTAGTATTTCTGTGACGTACTGAGAAGAAAATGAATTTTTTTCCCTTTTGATTTTGCTTTCTTTCCACTTTTACACTGTGCTCTCAATTTAGTGTCCTTTTCTGACTGTCCAGTCCCAACGGTAGAAAAGGGTCAGCAACCTCCCTTTTACGTGCTAAAAGGGGCACGTAAGAATGAAGGGCTCTGAAAGGCAGATGGTTCTGAGCAGTACTACCTCATTTAGATGAGTTCTTTTGGGAATACTACATTTTAGAAAGCTAAAGATCTTTCCATGTTATGCTTCCCTCTTGCATTTAGCAATGTTCTTTTCTAGTTTTATTGAGTCTCTTGAAATTACCTAGATACCTCACAGTTGCTATGAGTTCAGTCTGAAGAAATTTGTTTTCATTTTTCTGTACTTAATCTCTTTTCCATGAAGTTGGTGCAGTACCTACCTATGTCAGAGAGGCAATATGTCTTTAATGTGTGCAAACCCAAGCACATTTAACTTACTGAAGTTTTTTCTCACAAGTGTAATTCAGTTTACACTCTCCAGTTCAGCCTTTCTTCCCAACAGACAAGAGGTGCTCCTGTCTGACATGTTAGGCTGTGGCACATAAAATGCTATTACTGAATTCTGCTCTTGATATCTTTGAATGTGATTCCACTGATTGTGGGTGTGTGATGGAATCCTAAATAAAAATAGAAGGTTAGGTGGGAAGCTTTTCAATCCTGTCTTCTGCAGATAAATCACACTTGATGTAATCAGAGAAGTCCTCCCAGATGAGTGCTATTTTTAACTTTCACTTTTACAGCAGCGTTTTATGTTCCTCCATAAAATGATGATACTAACTAACTTCATGCTCTCAGATGATTTATAAAAAATTAATCTCAGTCTCCTGGATTTAACTAGATGTTCTGTACATTTTCAGGAGTCTTTTCATGCAGCAAAGATGGCCTACAGGCAGTTCAAAATACGTGTAAGAGAAACTCTGTCTTTGGGTCACTCAGGGCCTGAGTCACTTGAAGATGCTGTCCTGGATTATATAGTTCGCCATGAGGATCTGTATGACGTTCAAGCCAGTGTCAATGTAAGTCAAGGGCAGCAGGGAAGGGACATGGTGATCTATTTGAGTAGCTAATAAATTCAGAGAGTGTAGACTAGAATTGCACTGTAACCTTAAGGAGGAAGAAAGTTTATTGCATGGATTTTAAGTCTTGTAGGAGTTTATTTTCCAAAATAATATTGTGGTGTGGCCCAGTTATCACTTGTTTTATTTACCTGTGACTAGAAAGTCTTTGCCAGAATTATATTTTTTGGCAAGATACAGTGTAATTTTCTCAGTTAAATAAATATAAACTAATTTCTCAAATTCTGTGCTCCACTCTAAACCATCTTAAAAAAAAAAGAAAAGAAAAAGGAATCTCATTGTCAATGATGTATCTAATTTTATTTCTAAAATAATAGCACATTCTTTCTGAAGATAGTATATGCTATAATAGCCTAATACAACACTGCTGGGGACTGAAGGGATTTCCATACTTGCCCATGAATAAAAGTGTTACTGAGCTCAAGTTACTCAATTGTGTTTATTTTCAGGAAGTAATTCGCTGCATGAACATCAACCCAAAGATTTCATTTCCACCAGAAATTGATTTCATTGTGATCAGCACTTTGATTCGAGAGTTGTGCCGTGTGGCTTTTTCAATGCAGACACTTATTCCTCCTCTTGATATTGCCTTTAGTACTGATGGAGAACTTTTCAGTGAGACCAAGTAAGAACTCTTTATTTTCATTTGGATTTTTGCTACTAATGCCTTAGGTTGTTCAGTCTACTTTTTCCTAATTCATATCAAGGTTTAAGATTGATGCTAGGCAATAACATGGGGCAAATATTCTGGGTCTGTAGTGGGTTTGGTATGCCTTTAAGGTTAGTGATGGTATATAAATGTCAGGATGTGGACCAGTGTTAACAGCTTTATTTTTAATGAACAGCAGAGCAATTTTCTGGATAAACTTCAGTCTCCAGAGCATATTCAATTTATCCTTTAAGAGGAAATTATAATCAGCTTTCCTTTCCCGATTTAGTCTCTGTCTGCCTCCAGTGTTTATAAAATATTTGTGTCTTTGTTCCTCCTTTCTGACCCATTCTGTAAAGGTCAAGTTTATTGAGGTCTGACAATGGGTGTTACGTTGTAACCAGAATCATCAATATGTGTACTTTGACCTCCAGGCTATGGCTGCTGTACAGCATACGGGTCTTAGTACACTCCCATCTCTTCTGGTTTGGACCTGAGCAAAAAGAAAAATGCCCTTTAAAAGTGGTAATTTTGTTTAAAAAATGCACACAATAATAGAGTTTTTCTTCTATCCATAGGGTCAGGGCTGGCTGGTTTATTAGTTGGCAGAGAACTGTAGGGTACTTCCATGCCTTTGAGAAAACTAATGGGACTGATAGCTCAAAAAAATTGCTCTCAAAAGCAAGAAAAGCCACACCAATAAGCAAGTTTCTAAAAATAATTTGAAATAGAATGGAACTCAGTTGGGGAAGAGCTAGAGAAACCAAGAAGAGAAACAGAGAAAAGTAGCCCTTCAACAGGAAAGTCTAGAGTCATCCCTGACTGCTTAATGACCCTGTCCAAACACCAGGCAATTGGCTGTTTGATACTCAAAGCTATTGGCTGAAGTAAGACAGCAATGCTGTGCTATAGTCTTGGAATGCTTTCTCCACTTATGATGTGTGTGACCCTCAAAAAACAGGTGTATGTGTTTCTATGTGCTGCTGTGGGAGATGTCTATGCCCAGATTTATCCACCTATATGGATGCAGATGTGACATACATATGTTTACATGTATCGCATATATACAGAGATGGACCAAAATTTGTAGAAATTAAAACAGCTCTGTTAGTTATATGTGATATCATTCTATAAAAGGGCTGGCCAAGCCTCATTGTATCCTAATCCTTCCTGGTATTCTACTTTTAATTAGCATTGATGACTGGAAGTATCATGTTTATCTTTTGGCACTTACATGCAGACATTTCTTGTGCTCTGTGTTTCAACAGGTACCATCGTAGTTTGGACTCTGATTTCACAGCTGTCTTGGTGGCATATCATGTATGGCCTGCTCTCATGGAAAATAATGTCGTGGTGTTGAGGGGAGAGGCAGTCACAAAAAGGGGAATTCTGGTATGTACTTTTGTTAAGTAATACCTTAAGGGAAGTAATTAAACACTGTTTTAAAATTTAAAAGATAAGATCCTGATTGCTCCCTGTGTGGCTGGAGCTGTCCATACCAATATCAGTTAGGTTTTAGTGCCTCATCCTGTATTCAGGATTGATGGTTCCATTTGCCTCAATGTGTTCGTTACGCAGATGTATGATTGTTGACAGAGCTTGTTGATCCAAGCCTTGTCTCAATCATGGCAAGCCTGCTTGCTGAGTCTGTCTTTATTAAATGCCCTCTTTCAAAAGGGGTTTGTCAAACTTTTCTCTTGTAGTGCTGTCGCAGAAGTAGAAGTAAAAGTAGAAGTAGAAGCTGCAGTCGTAACAGCAGTCCTCTTCGATGTCGTCATGTAAGCCCCAGCTGAATGCTTGTAGTATAAACAGCATCAAGTATTTTAAGCTCAGAATGTAGGCAACGTTTTAAAAATGCTGTTGTGCCACATGTTCATTCTAACATTGGGAATAAGTGCCTTTGCTGGATCTGGAATGAGGTGAAGCTGAACTGGCAGGTAGTTATTATCAGTGGAGATACTGTATGTGAAGTAGATCACAGTTAAATTCTCAGAAGTATTATCTGGATTTCAGAATGCATTCCCCCTACTTTGTCTTGCTTCTGTACCCTTCTGAATAACTGATTGCATCATCTGGAACTGTTTTAGTCATCTTGCAGTACATGTACAGCATATGGCCTGTGCCTTCTGAAATTAGTGATCTAAATTTACCCTCTGCTGCCTCAAAGGAGCAGAAAATCAGTGTAGGAGGGAAGAACTGAGGTGATACTAATAAGATAAGTGAAACCTTAGCAGAGTTCTGCATATGATGTAATTACAAAATATTTTAAATTATTTCAGTAAGAATCATATGTCTCTTTCTAGCTGTTAGCCCATCTTATTAAGTTGTCATAGATGCCCTCAACTGAAAATGTGAACACTGAAAATGTGAGGGGCTTTGAGTAAGACTCACTTTTTTTGCCTGAGTGCAGGTGTAAAAGAGAAAGTTGTTAAATTTGACTTTGTAGCAGTGGAGCTGCACAGATAGAGTAACAGGTGCAAATTTTCAGAATGTTGATGGCTCCCCAGGTGACTTTGTTGGGTACAGTAGCACATCTGAGTTTCCTTTTCTGTTTGTCTTGCAGTTGTCTCGAAGCTGCAGTCCTTCACTGAGGAGTGGAAGCCCAAGTAAGTGGGCATATTAGGTCATAATGACTCATGGTTTTCACATGGACGAGTGAGGAAAGAGTCAAAATAACATGCTGAAAGTCTTTGACTCTAAAATACTTGTTCAAGTTTTATTTTTAAAGTGGGTAGCCCATTTCTTTTCTGTGTGTGGAAAAAGGCTGAAATTTCCGACTAGGAGATCTTGTTTTTCACTATTCAGACCACTTGAAAGTGAGTCCTCTCTGCTGGTTGCCTTTATTGTGGTCAGTTCTATAGTAAGTAGAACTTGTTCCCTTACTCACATAAGATACAGCTGCTGGATCCATGCCTTTCAAAGTTCAAAGAGGTAGCTAGGTGGTGATGGTGAAGTGAGGGACTTCAAACAGTATGAATGTGTGCCCATCTTGAAGCTAAACTAATTTAGAGATTCAGAAAAAAACTGTTGTACTGAAATGTGTCTTTTTTTCCAATAGGGCGTTAGCTGAGCCTGTGCCTGTAATTCAGCAGGTCTGGATCCAACAACTTCACTGGTGCCTTTCCTCCTCAGGAGTACCTCAGGTCTCACAATAATGTGAATGGCAATTGTCACGCAAATGGAGTTTGTGTTCAGTGTGGTTTTTAGAATTATAGAAGGTTTATTTACAATTTTAGAAACTAATACAACCCTTCTGATTAAAAAAAAAAAAAGAAAAAAGTGCATGTAATAAAGGATCATATTCATTTGGCAAAATTTGCACAGCACTAAGGAACCCATACTGTAAACCTGCAGATGGAGATAGACTAACTGCTCCTAGAATGTTTTCCACAGATACCAAATGATGCAATTTACCTTGACAGGATGTTTAATATAATCTAAATGGTGAATGTTGCAGAATGTTCGGGTTTGCTGTTACTTGAAAAACATTTCATTAGTTGGGGCTTATTTACAATTTTAGAAAACAGCAGTAATCTTAGAATGTGCCAGTCTCATACTGCATCCTTTTAAATACATCTTTGCAGTAAACTGAATTTTCTAGCTACAATGTAAAAGTTGCATGGAACAGTCCTAAACTAACAATAGTCCAGCAATCCCCAGGACACGTGTATCCTTTAGCAAGGCAGTAATAGTCCTTGTTAAATGTTACTTAGAAGTGAATGTAATAAAAAATTGCAGTTTGGAACTTAAAAGTATATTGAAAGTGTGCCACTGACTATTGGTGAGCTTTGAAATATTTGCTTGATGTGGCCTATTTGGTATAACACTTAATGGGCTTTCATACTAAACTGATAGATCAGTAATTCTTGTGAACACAGTGAAAAAAACATGTCCAGTTATCTCTTAGTGTGGACATTTATTATGTTTTAAGTGAAAAAATTAGAGAACCAAGCAGGATTTATTCTGACACTTTAAATAGTTTGTTCCCCGTGGAAATGTTTATTTTAGTATCAGCATTTTTGGTTTTGAAATAAATGAGAAAGAGAGAAAGAAAGTTGGGAGCAGGAGGTTGGTGGAACCTTCTCATCTAATCTGGTTGGCAGTGAGTGTGGTGCTGATTCAGACTTGTAGGAGGCTGTGGAGATGAGTGGTAAGTTAAAGCAAAAATACAGCCTGGAGAAAGTAAATGTGAAAGCCAAAAAATATCAAAATGCTCCCTAGAAAACATGCCTGTACATCCTCCAGGATTTGAGCCTTTTAACTTTACTTTTATATTGCACGTATATACTGCAGAAGTTTGTCATCCTGTAAAAGTGCCACCAGAATTAAATCAGCTTTATGTTATCTCTCTCAGCTGCCTTTGATTGGTGTTAACTACACAGTGATTTTCTTACTGTAGCATTAAATGGTGAAACTTTGTATTAGAAAAACAAAAAAGCATTTGCTATGGCTTGCAGCTATATTAGCATGTGTTCAGATTGAATGTTTTAAGTTTCAGTACTGTATTCCTCTTAGGCAGGCAGCACACTAGTCAAGGAATTGAAATTTCAGTATACTAAAAAAGTATACTAAAACAAGTATACTGAAGAAATGTACTTTTCATTTTATGGTTGAAAAGTTGGAAGAAAGGTTTGCATAGTTTAAAACAACACATGTATCTGTCACGCTTTTGCTGATCTACAGGTGTGTTGTTTATGTGGAAGCTGTACCTTTCACTGGGTAGGGGGAGCACAGACAGAACACTTGGTGCCATTTTCCTGTTAAGAGACAAAAGCATGAACATAAATGAAGTGGGTCGTGTGTTTATACTTCCTTATGTCTTTGAGAAGGCAACACTTCTTCCTTGGAAAAGCACGGTTCTCAAAGCAATGTTACCTGTTCAAAAGGAAAATGTCAGTGTAAAGATGCTGTTTATCACTGTTAGTATGGCTTCCTGTGACATTCCTTTTTCCTGAAGGGCTTTGGCCTGCATGCAAAAATCTGTTTTAAAATAAAAATTTTATAAAGAGAGATTACTTTAGGCTAATTCCTTCTCTTCACAGTAGCTGGCATTCAGCCTTTTACATCAGTCATGTAAAGCAGATATAACGCATATGTTTATAAACTGCATTCACACCCTTCAGTGAAAACCTCTCTGTGTTGATGATACATGCACCCCTAAAACAGCATAGACAAGACAAACACTTGTTATTTGGAAGCATCATCTTCTATTCATAGAAACCATTTTAGCCTGTGGCTTTTTATACAGTTTACAGTTTTAATGGCTGAATTGTTTTAGTTAATAAAAAATAAATGGAGTTTTAAAAAAGCAACAAGTATTTTCCCAAGTTTTTTCTATCTCCTGGTAAACTGGTTCTCAGGTGAAAAAAAATAGGGCCAACATCATGTTGTAATACTGTATTTAGTGTATGTTGTGCAGACTTAATTTTCCTTGAACCTTTACGTATGTTTCATGTGTCAACCAGAAATTGAATGTTTTATTCTTTAAAAGTACTTGACACAATGCAAGTAAGTGAATAACTACTATTCAAACTGAGGTGACTTGCTTAGATGAGGGCACGTGAAGTACTATCTGGTTCACTGCAAAGTCCTCCCCAAGGCACACTGTTGCTGCCTTAACTTTATCTGGAACATTACACCTCTGCTTAGAAAAGGGAACTTGATTACTCCTACATGCTGCTGTATTTATGGTAGGAATCTACCCAACTAAAACCAGACACAGACAGAGCTGTGTCAGTCCTTTAGTGTACAAATACAATTAGTATTTTCATTTCCAGTCAGTGTATGGTGTATTGGTCAACCTGAAGAGCTTGTGGTTTAAATTAAGGACTGTCTTCAAATTCTTAAGCTAGGAATGAAATTAAGTCAAAGAAATGCATATGAAACTCTGAATTTAACAATCTTCAGGTGATTAATACCAGTTAGTGCCATATGTTTTTCTTACCCACACTGGAATTTCAGGAATGAGTAACTGCAATCTAAATTACATGTCCATTTCCACCTCCAAAGTGGAAAAAAAGTAAATTGGTTATATTGTTAGAGATTTTACACAATAGCAAGCCTAAACTCTTACACTAGCAGGACCTAAGCTGCTCTGAATTTAGCTTAAACCAAATTAAAACAGATGTCAATTGCTGTTATTGCAAATGGACACCTCATGCTAAACCTTAAGGTGACATCTCTATGAGCTTGTGGTCTTTTTTTGTTGATACTGCTGTAAATATACTGGCACTGTTTATTAAGAGTTAACAGACTGTCCATCCTGGGAGTGTTAACCTTGCGAGCACGTGTTTTTCTTAGACTACATGTGTAACGGTCCAGGGAAGCAGTCTGGAGTACAGGAAGACAAAATATGTAGGTGTCAGTTTCTTCTCATTTTATAGTCCTGGTATTCTAAAATATAACTAACTGGTTTTATAATACTGGCAGAAGTGTGCAAATGAGAAATGAAAGTAACATATTGCTGTTTATTCCTGACACTTGGCTTCAATGTTAATGCTGAACCAGCAGCATCATGGAAGCACCAGCCTGAGATTCAGTCCTGAGCATGTCTTGATCCACCGAGTGCCGGCTGCAGGAGGGAACTTGCTATGAATACAGAATCCTGTTTCATTCCTGTTTCTGATTAATATCTATTGTAGGACTCCAAAACTCACCCCCTTTATCAGGGCTTGGGAAAACAGCTGCTGGGATCTACCTGTACTTGCTTACAAAGAAGTGGGTTGACTGGAGCCCAAACAGGGTCACAGCATGTTGTAATTTTGGCGGGAAAGCCCTCAGAGCCTGTGAGGAGCCACAGCAGAACAGTGTGGCAGTAGCAGGAGGTGCCTTTCAGAACAGGCTGGAGCCTGCAGCAGGCATCTGGCTTCTGTTTTAACATCTCCTTTGTCTGACAGGAAGCAGATTGGGGTTACTCAGTTCCCTTCCTCACCAAGGAGCCAACCACGTGGAGCTTGCTGGAAGAAAGGGCCTTGTTCCTGGCAGACTGGCTTCTCACACTGCTTGTGGAAGAAAAAGGTGAATCCTCCTTGGTTTCTGTCTGTCAGATGGATGACATTTTAAATGTAAAGTTTCCCGTGCTCCTTGGTGCATGAAGTGTTGTGTGTTTGTGTTTTGGATTTGCAGAGACTGAAGGAAAAAGCCATTAAAAAGGTAAAAAGGCACAAAATCAAGTAAGATGGACTGAAAATGTCAACAGAAGCAGGGTTGAGGTGTGGCTGGCAATTTGTGTGTGTAGCACACGTGCAGTGGACCTGAGGACTGGTGGCATCTGCTTGACCAGCAAGGCTGCTCCTACTGGACACCTGGGAGCAGCACAGCCCTGCCCTGGGCAGAGTTGGAGCTGGGCTGGGTCCTCTCCTGGCTGCCCGTGGGACCCTCCCGGCAGGACCTGGGCTGTGCTGGGTGCTCTCCTGGCTGCCCGTGGGACCCTCCCGGCAGGACCTGGGCTGTGCTCCAACCCGGTTTGCAGGAGAGCACCTGGGAGCAGAGCAAAAACCTCATGAAACCTTGCCACAGTGCCCAGGAAAGGCTAGTAGGCATTTTAGATGAAAGTTTACAAGCTCGGCTGGGGGAGCCGACTTAAAAAAAAAATAAAAAAAATTAA